AGCTAGATTAAAGGCCTGTCTTTGGACTCTGTAAAACTCCAACCAGTGGACATCATAACTAGTCCACTGCTTAAATTGTGGTTTCACGGATTTTACAAAATCAACCTAAAAAAATAAAATGCATATTATTCATATAAAACACTGTTTTAGAACGTGCCAATGCTTACTGCAATACCAAGACAACTGACTTGCATCTAAAATTATGTAACACTATCACTACAGTCATAGATCACATGATTGAGAGTTACTATCTACTTGTAGTGACCTAGACTAAAGGAAAGCTCCAGTCAGGAAGACAGAGTGAAATGTTTATTTAGCGCCATCATTTAAGAAGTTAAATACAGCAGTTTGAAGTTTGAAGATGATTGAAAATAAATTTTAAAAAGCTAAGTACATTTTGGCTCAGGATTGTGTAGCACAGTTCCCTGTAGGAACTTCACATTCAGGTGCTGGTAAATTGTTTTGTTCATCTTGCAATATAACTGTACGTGCTGGGGGGGAAAAACACGGTTGATCACCATTTAGTGTCTAAATTGCATATAAAGTGAAAGGCTTCTGCAGATGCTAAAGTTCAGAACAAAAAACAAATGGCAATGACCTCTGTGTTTAAAAGAACCACTGAAAGCAGTTTAATAAGAAGGGAAGTTACATTTGAGCTAGTGGAGGCATTCATTACTGTCAACATACTTTTGGAAAAAACTGGTAACCTGAAACTAAGGGAGTACTTCTACAAGCATGTACCAAATGCTGGCAATTTCCCATATGCAAACCAACTTTGCCAGTATTATCTACTAGAAGTAATTGCTTTGAATGTTCAGTCTACAAAATCAGCATTGGCAGAATATTATTTCATTTCAGTTATAGCATATGAAGCAACAGATGCACAGGATAATTATGTTCTCCACATTTTATTTGTACCTGGGAGCTAGAAAGACCACAACCTGTCTGCTTTTCAAACAGAGCTGGTTCAGTTCATGTCTGTACATTTTTTAACTGCAGCACAAGCTGTAATGAAGGCTGTTGTAAACGATGGCTTAGAATTTAACAAGATCTCGTCATTTCTCTCTAATAATGCAATGTAAATGTGGAAAACTTTCTCTGATGTGCTTCATGGAATGATGGCCCAGCACAATTCATGTTACCTGCAATGCACAATTCTTTTTTTAGTAAGTGATATCTGGTGCACATGTTTTTCCCCATGTGGATACACTGGTTTCCTCTTTAAAAAAAACATTCAAACATTGTTCAGGAAGAAAGGGAGTCCATGACTAATCGAAATGGAGACTTAAATGCAAATGTTTCACTTTAGCAGAACTAGTGCTTACAAGAAGGAATTTGTGGTTTAATGCAGTTCATTACCACGCAAAGAATATGAAGTACTACGAGCAGTTTGCGTGCAGTGAGCTTGAAATCACACCCTGCACACAGTGCTTGCTTAAACTATGTGATGTCTTAAAACAGGATAACGTTGAAAATCAAGTTAAATTTGTGGCTGACAGTGCAGTCTGGTTTGTGAAGCTTCTAGCATGATTTGAGAATCAGCAGGTTTTGATTCACAAAGCACGCAGCAAACTGATGGATTTGGTCAATTGGGCTAAAGATATGGCATCACAATAAGTTTCAGACTGTCCAACTGAAAACCAGCACAGACAAGAACTGTTCCAAGCAATAGCTGCAAAGTTAAATCAGTACCGCAAGTATGATCAGTCGCTTCCACTTCAATTTAAATAACCTGCTGCCTACTTCTTGAATGCTGTTCGTATTTTTGACTCAAATGAGGTGCCTTTTCTGAGTTTGTACCATCTCGGTGCATGGACAAGTCTTCGCATAGCAGAGGATGTCAGCTGCAACTGCTGGTGGATGCTGCATGCTAGTGTTTAACATCTATAATGGGTTGGTTTTTATTAAGCATAAATTAGTATTCCTAAACTTTTTGTACAGTGCTACATATAATTTACTTTCTGCTGAGTACGGTATATGCTTCTGCCAATCAGCACTTAGGGGTGGGGGTGCCGGAGCACATCCAGGAAATATCTATGGAATTTGCTATTTATACTGCGACCAACCGCAAAAATTGTTTTAGTCTCACTGCAGTTTAAGTAGATTCCTAGTCATAGTAACTGTGTGAATTTGTTATGTTTGGGGCACTTTGCAATTCCCATATGTTTGAGGAGGAAGCCAGCAGTTGCAGCAAACTGTGGCAGCGGCCTGTTCTTGAAGAGAGCAGTCAGTACATAGAGAAGCAGTGCAGAATGATTTAGCCTGACTTTAGAAGGAACCCTGAATAAGTATTGTAATTAAACTATAAGTCATCACAATATCTAAAGGTGAAATATAATAAAAAATAAACCAATAAAAATGGCAATCTATGGTATGTGGAGAGGACAGTATTCCAGCTAACTTGCCCACTTTTAGGAGTGGGGGCAACCAGTGGAATTAATGTTTATTGTATCACTGATAAAAGCAAACACAGAAGTTAAGGCGCTAATAAAACGGAGATTAATAGGGAAAATGTCTCCAGTGTTTGCTGGAACAAAGCTTGGTTTGTGCATATATGGCCCGTCCCTTTGTTATCATTGATTTTGTGGTAGGAATAGATTTATAGTTTGGACCGTTCAGTGCCACTGTGTTTGAATATGGTAAATCATAGGAATAGGAATGAAAAGGTAAGCTTGTTAGGTAACACAATCAGAACATTGTTTCTGTGGTACATAATCCAATTTTTTGCCTAATCATTTAAAATGTTTCTAGTGATAGTTGGTATATTGAAGAAGAAAAATCTTATGTGAGATTGGCTGTGGTACAAATCAATTTACTGGGGACTCCAAGAAAAGAAAAATGTGAGATGTGGTGGGTGGGTGTGTCTTTCGCCCCCTCCCTTCCCCATTGTGCACTGAGAAAAGTAAAAACTTTCAAAGACTCTGTTGCCTGTAGAAATTTGGAGTTAGCAGTGTTTGAGAATCTGAATAGTGATTTGAATGTGACTGTATGTGCAGCTGCAGGGGTTGCGGAAGATTACTGTTCAAAACCACCCCAAATGTTTTTGGGGTTATTCAGTAAAGAGAGAAATATGGCCTTCAGTATCAAAAATGCTAAAGGGTGAGAGGAGAGAACTTAAAAAATGTAGCAAGCTTTTCTATCTTTATCAACAAAGTATCAGTAGGCGCTTCTTACAGGAGATGTTTACTACACAGTAGGCTAATTAGCTGGGTAGTAGTGGTGCACTGATAAAGATTTTGGGGGCCCGTACTGATAGCCCATTTTTAAGGAGGCATATCAGCCAGTACTGATCTGATTTCTGATTACAGCTGCATGTAGCTGGTAAGTCTGTTATGGTGAGAGGGGAGGGAAGGGGCATGAGGGGGCAGATCAATGCCCCCCACAGTGAGGGAGGGAGTGGGGCTGGGCCTGGGGTAGGTGCTGGCCAGCCAGGGTGGGTGTGGGACAGAGCCATGGCTCATCTGAGGGGTGGGGGGCAGGCAGCTCCTGCTGCTGTTCATCCAGGAGGGGTGGGGGGCCTCTGCCCCCAATCTCTGCTGGGTGGGCAGCGGCGGCGCTGGGAGGAGGTCTGTGGGGGCTCTGCAGCCACCCCATATTTTGCCATAGCCCCCTCCCAGTACTGCCGCACCGCAGCGCTGCACAGCCTCTGACCCTAGCCTGCAGCTGCAGCCCGCCTAGTGCAGATCCAGGGGCACATGCCCTTGTGCCCTCCTAGGTAAGAGGCGGGAGCCACTGGACAAGCCGCTGGTTGAGTAGTGCACAGCAACTGGAGCCGCCTCTGCCCCCCATGCTCCCCGGATGCGATGCGTCTCTGTCCCTCGCCCCAGCCCTACTCCCTCCCTCACTGCGGGGGCATTTGATTTGCACCCCCCCATGCCCCTTCCCTCCCCTTCCACCACAGCAGACTTACCAGCTGGACACAGTTCTCCATGCTGTTGGGCTGTGCTCCTCACTGCCTTTGTGATGTGCTGTGGCTGCGTGCACGCATGGGCATTTATCAGCCAAATTATCGGCCACATCAGGCCGATTTCCAATATAGTCAATTTTCTTTATATCAGTGCTGACCTGATACTGGACCGATGTATCGGTACCTCTCCTGGGTAGTACATGTACATCTGTGCACCCCCGTTAGGCTGGAGTAAACTAAAAATCTCCGCAGCAGTGCATGTGTCAACACTGCCCCAGCCAGCCCCTCCACAGCATGTTGAGCCGTGTAGAGAGCAGCCCTGGGTTGGCAGGCTGACCCCCGCCCCGTGGCCCCCTACCAGCTGGGGCTACTTCAATCCAGCTCAATATGCTGCAGTCCTGGGCATGTGTGCAAACGGTGTGCCTGGGAGCAGTAAGCCACAGTTTATTCATGCCCCTTAATTGCACATTTAGACATGCCCAATCAAGGCAAAAGGTAAATTGTCTGCTTTTCAGTTAATCTCAAAAGCAGCGAGATGGGGAACCCTTATATTCTTCCTTTATTGCAAATATTGCTTTCATATAACTTTTTCTGTTAACTAAAAATAATGAAGTAGTATCACAAAATAGGACTCTGTTTTAATTTTTATTTAAAAAATGCACCACCCCATTTTAGAATCTTTGGGAAGAAAAATCCCTGGTCACTGCAGTGTATGAAACCTCTCTTGACCTGTCTCAGGGACTTTCCACCCCTTTCTGTGGTTTGGGTAGATCTTTTGATTGCTTTTTAGGGATGGGAAAAGGATGAAGAGTACTGGATCCAAATGTCTTTGAAAAGAAAACCATTTTCACATTGATTATACTATTGGGTTTTAATGAGCAGGATACAGTAAATGACTTTTTAGTAACATGTCTTTGTTATCTGCTGTCAGAAATTTTATGAGAGACTTGAAATTACAAAGCCACTGAAATGCTTACAGGCTATCAGTAGGTAGTAGGAATTTGTAAAACATATTTGCATCTACAAATGTTTTCCAGCTGTAACTCTGGACAGCTGGAAGAAGCTAAATTCCTCTCTTTGTCTCATCTCCTAGTCTACAAAGGATCAGAGACTGGTGTATTCTGGCAGACTGCTTCCTGATCATCTGCAGCTGAAAGATGTTCTCAGAAAAGTAAGCTTTACCTCAAACCACTGCATGGGGAAATAGGTCTCTTTGTATTAGCTTCCAGTCTCATTGTTTTATCTACATGTAATATAAATATATTTAGGAAAACTAATTTGAAAGTTACAACGTTTGTGTCTTCAGGGGATATGGTGTTGAGGGACTGGGGCAGGGGGACTGCCACTAGTGGAGGAAGGGTAGATATTTTGGGTAAATTAGTAACTGATGTGATGTCCAGTAGAATTGCTGACTTTTTTTGAAAGTTAGCTCAAGTTCTACCTCCATTGTTTGGTGGTGGTTGGTAAATTTTTCAGCATATGAATATGCACATTTAGTATAATGCAGAGTGTTGTGTTCATCTGAGGAAAAAATGTTTATGGGGTTATATACTTTAATCCACAGCAGAACTGTTGACCAAGCAGTGGGAGTTCTGCATCCAGTTGGGCAGCATGTGGTCATTTACATGTACAAATCCATAGCTGTATCTTTAACAAGTATTTATGCACGGTGCAAGCCAGGGGTGCTCAATCTTTCGGTGGGCTGGATCGGGGCCCCATGTTGTCTTCCTTGGCAGTGTGCTGTCAGATCATTGCTCTCTGCTGCCTCTAGCTAACACCTGTGTGCCTGGATCAGGCCAGGGCCACCTCCACTGCTGATCTAGTGTGCTGTCTGGCCCATGGGCTCCCTGTGAATCTAGAAATTTGGCAGCAAGGGAATGGCAATTACTGCCACTGCTCACCAGCTGCTAATTTTTCAGATCTATAGGAACCCCTGTGGGCCAGATGGCATGGTTCTTTGGGCCATATCTAGTTGAGCACCTGTGGTATTAGCTCTTTGCTGTTGTGATTTTTAACTCCTGGACATGTTTTAACTCCTGCTGGCTGTCTCTTGCTAGTAGTTCTGATTAGATTGATACAAGTGTCTCCTGTTCTCTCTGTTGTGTGTCGTTGTGTCCCGCCGGCAGCGGCCGCCTCCCCTGGCACCGATGGTTCACTTTTAGTAAAAGGCAAAAGATTTATGTGATTAAGTTAGTAAGAAACCAGATGTTGAAGGGCAAATCTGAGTGTGTACTAGCATCAGGAGTCAAAATTCAAAGTTCTTGGTTTAGACGGAATGACTTGGCTAAGTATTTCTGACCAGCAGGAACTTAATCAAATCAGAACAGTGGCGTGGTAATATACATCAAGAGAGATCGTTTTGTACTTGGAATCCTGAGGTTAATTTCTGACATCAGTTTGCACAAGAAGGAAACGTGTTTAAAACATTCTTGATAATCTTGAACAAAGAACTACAACGTTGTATAGTGATTTGTGAACTATTTGCTATGTAGTACCTGAGCCACAATGCATGTGAACTAACTTCTGTTTTTGGAATTTTTTTGAAGTCTTGAAATCCGCATGCTTTAGTAACTGCTTGCAGTTTAGAAGAAACATAAATGAATGTGAGGCGACATAATGCTGGGAAGTGTATAGAGAAATAGTTTTTTTCAAGCAGTAACCAAGAAAAAAGTGTTCATCTGCTTTTTGTGCTGAAACTTTATTTCTGTGGTTGCTGACCAGTAATAGCTGAAGGTCAGAATCACTGCTTTTGAGTCATGAAATGCTACAGTAGCCTGATGACATATGGATATATGATAGGTTCTTACCCAGTTTAGATTGGGCTGCTTAAACAAATTCCAGCCATATTTTATCTTGAGGAAAAACAAATATAAACTGGCTCTTCCCCATTCTTTGTTTATTTGTCTGAATGTACATGCATTTTAACAACTATAGCTGTTATACATCTGTTTGTTTTACTTAAAGAAATTTTCATTCCTGGGTGACCACAGTTTGAAGATATCTTTATCAGTCTAACTGCAAAAAGAATAAAATCTGTGTGGAAGGAAGGGAAGTTTTATTATTCACTCCCTTCCCCTCCCAAAATCCGTGGATTCTCAGTTGCTTTAGATTTTAAAGAAAAGGCCTCCAAGAGGCCTTAGTTTTCTTTCATATTCTTCCTGCCTAACTGGCCATCTGTTCCTGTAATCAGTTGAGCACTGGGTGAAATTTTATTTGAAGCTTCTCTCTGTCATACGCAGGCAAGGTTCTTTGGGTAAATGTGATATCTTTTATTAGACCAGCTGAGTTGGTTGTACCCAAAGAACCTTGCCTGCCTATGTCCTTAGATCAACATGGCTAGAACCAAAAATCTCTGTCATGTCTCTTCCAAGTAATCCTAATGGCTAATGATGTCGTTTGACCACGTTGTAATGCCTGTGTTGAGAGGTCTTGGAACATTTCAAATATGTTCATTGGAAATGTTTGTATAGGAATGGGTATAGACAATAACATGGATAGTTGGAATGCCTAGGATATGCTAACCTTTAGAGAATGGTGTTTAATGGATACCGTTCTGTACCTCTTTCTGGAGATAAGCTGCCCTTTAAGAAGTGCCTGATCATTCAGTATGGGAATTATTTGTTTGATCAGTTAAAAAAAGCAAGAAAACCCCACTTTGTTCACAGCTTCCTGAATCTGATGAAGCTGACTAGTAGGGGAAGGAACCAACAGAAAGGGTAGAAGCAAGAGATGAGAGAGATTGGAGCGGAGGTGGAGTTCAGCATGAGGATGGGTGTGTTTCCTTGTTTGAAAACCATTAGTGGGAGTGCAGAATGTGGTATAGAAGGAACCTGTCAGTTGTCCCTTTTGAAGAATTAAGTTTGGGTATTTGAGAGGAATTCTTAGCACTTAACTGCTTCTAAACCTGTTCTGGTAGATGTCATAAATAACTACTTAAGGAATTCAGTTGTTATACTATGGAGTGCATCCCACTGTGGCTTCAGAATTATGGCTGGTTCTTACATAAGCATGTTGGGGAAGCTCCAGAATACAGTTTGAATATATGGTGTGCTGTGACCATATTCACAATATCATTTGAATGTGGCCACAGCATACCAAAAATATGCTGCCACTGCCTCATGGTTTGCATGTGGCAATAGCTGCTCATCAGTTTTTCCAACTGTGAAATGGGGATCCCAACCTTCTATATGGTAAATGGATGAGAACTAAAAGTTTGTGCAGCACTTTGACTGGCATCTGAGTGTTTTTGCAATAATAAACTTGGTGGTTAGGCAGACTTCAGACACACAGGCAAGCATTCTCTGTTTTGTAGATGGAAAAATTGAGTTGAGAGTAAGTTTTCTGTAGATGTTATTCTGAAATAGTTTAGTCTCCTCTTTTCCAATGTAGATTCTTATCTGTCTGACAAAGCTGCAGTTCTAGAGGAGGGAATAAGAAAAAAAATTGCTGAACCTTTAAACATGAAACCTTTAAACCTTTAAACACTGCTTATTCGCATCATGATTTGCTGAGGGAATGCAATGTGTGTCAAAGTGATCAGCTGTTTAGATTTGTACAGTTGCTAATTAAGAGCTATACTACCTTATTAACTGTGAGTTTACTTTGAAACTGAGTTTATTTACTTGAAAAATTTTGAAATGCTGTTGCTTCAACTCTTCAATGTCTTTATCCTTAGCAAGACGAATATCATATGGTTCATCTAGTGTGTACTTCACGGACACCCCCCAGTTCTCCAAAGCCCAGCACCAGTAGAGAGAGTAATGGAGCACCGACATCCAGCAGCAACTCAGTAAGTTTTTCTTTCTTTGTATAAGATGTGGTGTTGAGATTTATGAAGTTTATCAGGTTTCCTTTAACTCTTAATCTCACTGCAAAGCAGTACAATTAAAACACAGAATGTAGTTAGGAAACAGCCTGTTGTTAACTGCTTTGTACAATTAATTGGGTTTTAACGATATTTCAAGAACAAAAAAACAAATTAGCTTTGTTTTGGTTAAATGATGGAATTTGATTTTGAAGATGTTTGTTTTTATGTATAATGGAAATCTCTTCTTATCCTTGGAATATGAAATTGGGAGTTTCTTTATTTGGCTGCAACAAGAAAACAGTTCTCATAATAGTCTGCTTCAGTCTTGCTCTTCCCTATAGGTGAGAGTGTCCTTTTTTTCAGGAGGCCTTTAAGGTTAGCTGGGAAAGAATGTAAACAAATATACCTTCAGTGGGCTCATCCAGATGACCTTGCACGTGCCTCTTCCAGCGTCTCAAACCCCTTTGAGATGCTGCAAGAGGCACATGTGGGAACTGGAAAAGGTTCCCCCCCACTGCAAGTTTGCAGCATGAGAGGAAAATTAGACTCGGGGGTCAAAAAAAAATGGAGCAAAAAAAAAAGCAGGGCAGTTCACGGTCCTGGACCGTGCCCTGAGGCAGCTGGAGGCTGGGTCCTCCACAGAGATGCTCTGCTAACAGCCAGAGCATCTCTGTGGTTGGACCTCACCCTGGTGCTGAACCACACTGCCTGCCCCGGTGGGGGGTGGGGTGGGGGTGTGTGTGAGAGCCCCAGTGGCCCTAGCCTGGGTCCCACTGCCCTGTGCTGCCTTGGGGGGAGGGAGGCCCTGCCAGGAGGCCCCAGGGCCCCCCCAGCCCTTGCTCCTGCGGTGAGTAGAGGCTTTTTTTGTTTTTTTTTACGTGCTGGAGGCTGGGTCGGAGGGGCAGCCATTG